GTTAATAACAAGCCTGAGCTTGTTATAATTAATATAAGCTTCTGTGTGTTTATTTGGGACTGAATGGCTGTGAGACTGGCAGGACAGAAACTTCTGTCTACGGGACCTTCTCTAAAATTGACCACAAACTTGATGGCAAAGCAAATCTCAACAAACACACACACAAAAATGGAATGACTCCCAGTATCTTATCGGATCACCATGGGTTAAAGTTAGAGTTCAACAGCAACACAAGTTACAGAAATCCTATCGAACTCATGGAAATTGAACTATTATCAACTGAATTACCAATGGGTCAAGGAATAAATAAATAACTTTCTAAAATTCAATGAAAATGAGTGAATAACATACCAAAATTTATAAGACACTACGAAAGAGGTACTAAGAGGAAAACTGACAACACTAAGTGTCTTCCTAAAGAATTTGGAAAAATTTCCTCCTAGCTAGTTAACAGGACACTTGAAAGCTCTATAACAAAAGGAAGCAAACACATGCAAGATAGCAGGAAATAATCCAGTTGAGAGCTGGGTAGGACTGACCTAGGCCCTCTTGATATATGTTACAGTTGTGTAGCTTGGTCTACGTGTGAAACTTCTAACAGTAGAAGTCTATCTTTGTGTCTTTTGCTGTCATTTGGGGCCCTATTCCTCATATTTGATTGCCTTGCCGAGCCTTAATACAAGGGCACAAGAAGGGTGTAAGTCTTACTGCAACTCGATATACCATGTTTTGTTAATATCCTTGGAAGACCTGACCTTTTATGAATACAAAATGGAAGAAGAGTGGATGGGGGACAGAAGGGAGGTGGGAGTATAAACTGGGAATAGGAGAGGGGAGAAAACTGTAGTCTGGAACTGTAAAATAATTAAATAATTAAATATAAAACTGCTTATATTTTGCTTTTTATACCATTTTTGTATTAAATTATTATTATTATTAAGCTTTGCTCATGTATTATAATGGACTAGCTAAAGCACTCTGTATATGGCACACAAACTCATAAATAATTAAATTTCTGTCACTACATTGCTTACACTAATCATTGTAATAACAATCCATAGTTTATCTTTCATGTTCTCCATTCAATAAACCTCCTAAAAAGTTTAAATCCATTTATTTTAAATTAGTAACCATTTATTATGCAAAACATAAATTTTTTATTCTTTGTATAGTAATTACATCTATGTGAACACTACTTTCAAATGGAGGAAATTTCTTCATTTCCCTATTTGCTTTTCTTTAACTTGCGAATGATAAGAAGATCACAGGGTTTGCAGGCTGACTGTCTAGATCAAGGTTCAGGTAGGAAATTGTGTTGAGGAAATATATAAAAAGTTATAGAGCAGTATACTGGCCATGTTCTGACTTCCCTCCATGTATATAAACATGAATTTAGAACACTCACAAGTGTGTGCACACACAAACTCCAGCACATTTGCACATATACGTGCCTGTGTTTGCATGCGACAACAAGCTACCTGGTAAGACTTGTCCACTGGTGCAGTAGTGGGATGAGTATCATGTTCCCACCAATCTTTCTGTCTCTAACTAACTGAAGGCCCACTCTATAAGTTTTGAAATTTTTGAAAATTTTTTTTATTAAGAAAAGAAGAAAAAAAAACATAAACAAAAAACAAGTTTCCACCTCCTCCCAGCCTCCCATTTCCCTCCCCCTCCTCCCACCCTTCTCCCCCTCCTCCCACCCTTCTCCCCTCCTCCCACCCTTCTCCCCCTCCCCCCACTCCTCTCCCCCTCCCTCTCCAGTCCACAGAGCAGTCCGGGTTCCCTGCCCTGTGGTAAGTCCTAGGTCCTCCCCGCTCCGTCCATACCTAGGAAGGTGAACATCCAAACTGGCTAGGCTTCCACAAAGCCAGCACATTAAGTAGGATCAAAACCCCGTGCCATTGTCCTTGGCGTCTCATCAGCCCTCATTGTTCGCCATATTCAGAGAGTCCAGTTTTATCCCATGCTTTTTCAGTCACAGTCCAGCTGGCCTTGGTGAGCTCCCAATAGACCAGCTCCACTGTCTCAGTGGGTGGTGTGGAAGTCAGTGTTTCGGTTTCTCAGGAAATTCGGGATCAACTTACCCCTGGACCCAGCAATACCACTCCTGGGAATATACCCAAGAGATGCTCTATCATATGACAAAAGCATTTGTTCAACTATGTTCATAGCAGTATTATTTGTAATAGCCAGAACCTAGAAACAACCTAGATGCCCTTCAATGGAAGAATGGATGAAGAAAGTATGGAATATATACACGCTAGAGTACTACGCTGCGGTAAAAAACAATGACTTCTCGAATTTTGCATACAAATGGATGGAAATAGAAAACACTATCCTGAGTGAGGTGTCCCAGAACCAAAAAGATGAACATGGGATGTACTCACTCATAATTGGTTTCTAGCCATAAATAAGGGCCACGGAGTCTACAATAGGTGAACCTAAAGAAGCTAAGTAAGAAGGTGAACCCAAGGAAAAACATATGTTATCCTCTTGGCTAAGGGAAGTAGACCAAATTGCCGGGGAGAAAATTAGGATCTTGGGGGTGGGGTGGGATGGAGGGTAAGGGGAGATGGGGAGAGAAAAGGTAGAAGGGAAGGAGGGGGGACTTGGGGAATCAGGAGAATTGGGATAAAGAAAAGGTGGATAGGGGAGCACGGAACCTCAATTCTTAGTTGAGGGAGCCACTTTAGGGTGGGCAAGAGATTTGACCCTAGAGGGGCTCCCAAGTGCCCAACATGAGGTTCCCAGTTAGTTCCTTGGGCAGCTGAGGATTGGGAACCTGAAATGACCCTATCCTAGAGCAATACTGACGAATATCTTGCATATCATCATAGAACCTTCATCTGGTGATGGATAGAGATAGAGACAGAGACCCACACATGAGCACTGGACTGAACTCCCAAGGTCCCAATGAGGAGCAGAAGGAGGGAGAACATGAGCAAAGAAGTCGGGACCACGAGGCGTGCACCCACCCATTGAAAATTTTTCTTTTGAAATTTTTTTCTTTTATACAATCTATGATGTACGGGGGAAAATGGAAAATCTGAAAATGCATTATGTCTTAGGGAGCACCCTTGTTTTCTTTCACTTGGGTCAGGTGAAGAATTCAAACATTATGTTGGAAACATTATTCCTTTTCTGAAACAAACATTGAAGGCAGACTGACAAAAGTACATTTTTTTCTTATTCTGCAAGAAATTATCTAGAAATGTGGCTGGTGCATGTATCCATTTATATTTACCAACACTATTCAGGCATGGTACATAGTATTCACAACATAAATTTTTCTAACAAATGTTCTTTTCAAACTTACTTTGATTATTAGATCATTTTCAAAACTTCTCTGTAGCGGCTGGGGAAATGGCTCAGCAAATAAGAGTACATAGTGCTCTTGTACTATGAGATTCTGAGTTTAGATCCAAGCATCTTTTCTCAGGGATGAGCTATTTTACTGGTTATCCAATGCAGAATTTTCAGCCTTGGGTACCATACACACACAAACAATAAAAAAAGATTCTGTGGGTTGTATTTATAGCATAGACAAATATTCATATATTTGTGTCACAGAAAAACAAAGAAAAAGAACTAATCAACTTGAGAATAGGGGGGATATGAAGAGTTTGGGGGAGGGAAGCTGAGGGGCTGGAGCCAGGAAAGAGAGTGAAGAAAGTGACATAATTCCACTCAACTTAAAATGGTTTTGAAAAACAAAATAAAAACAACAATAAAAAAACCTGCTGATATGAGCTAGCGAAATGGATCAGTAAGTAAGAGTGCTCGTTGTAGAAGTGTGAATGTTTTACTTCAAATTTCTAGCATCTATGGAAAAGTTTGGGTATGGCCAAGCATATGCGTATAATCTCAGAGCTATAGGGGCTCAAGATAAGAGGATCACAGGGTTTTCTGTCTCACAGTCTAGTTCCAGACTCAATAAGAAAACTGTCTTGAAGGAATATATGGACAGTCACAAATTAGGACATTGGCTATCCTCCGGCTTCTCTGCATAAGATCATGAATTTAAAGCACACACACACACACACACACACACACACATACACATACACACACACACACACACACTCACGCTTGAGTTCACACATGCATGCAAACACACAGGCACATGTTTGCAAGCTTTCTTATGATAAAAAAAAATCTTGGAATGATGATGTGGAATTCCCCTCTGTATGCTGTGAATACCAATGGTTAATAAAGAAAGTGGTTTGGAAGGATAAGGTAAATAAGCTGGGAAAACTAAACTGAATGGGGAGAGAAAGGAGGTGGAGTCAGGGAGAAGCCATGTAAAACCCCAATGGACACAGACACCAGAACTTTACCTGGTAAGCCACATCCTCATGGCAATACACAGATTACTAGAAATGGGATATATTAAGATATAAGTGTTAGCCAATAAGAAGTTAGAGCTAATGGGCCAAGCAGTGTTTTAAATAATATAGTTTCTGTGTGATTATTTGGGGGCTGAGTAGCCAGGAAGCAACAAGTAGGCTCCTTCAACAGAATAACACTAAACAACATAGGCAAATCAACACTCAAAGCTGGCGTACTACTAAGTAGGAGAATCAGTACATCTGAGGTGAAGCAAAAAAGTCAGAACAAATGGAGTCCATAAAAAGGACTGGTCTTGGTGAGTTCCCAGTAGAACATCCCCATTGTCTCAGTGTGTGGGTGCACCCCTCATGGTCCTGAGTTCCTTGCTCATGCTCTCTCTCCTTCTGCTCCTGATTTGGACCTTGAGATTTCAGTCCTGTGCTCCAATGTGGGTCTCTGTCTCTGTCTCCTTTCATCGCTTGCTGAAGGTTAATATTCAGGCGGATGCCTCTGGCCTGGGTCTGGAAAAGCCTGGGATAAAACCGGACTCTCTGAACATAGCGGACAATGAGGTCTACTGAGAACTCAAGAACAATGGCAATGGATTTTTGATCCTACTGCACGCACTGGCTTTGTGGGAGCCTAGGCAGTTTGGATGCTCAACTTACTAGACCTGGATGGAGGTGGGGGTTCCTTGGACTTCCCACAGGACAGGGAACCCTGATTGCTTTTCGGTCTGAGGGGGGAGGGGGTGGGAAATGGGAGGCGGTGGTGGGGAAGAGACAGAAATCTTTAATCATTAAATAAATTAAAAAAAACTCTGAAAGGCATTAGTGCTAGCCTTGTTCATATGTAAAGTCACCTCCACCTCCAGCAGCAGATAAAATTAGTAATAATTCCAACAACTGCAATGTATAAAGTGCAGATAAGGGATGAAAAATAAAAAGCTATTTGCATCATTAAATTTCATAGCCAAAATGATTGGTAGTTTATATCACAGCTGTAAATAATTTAAACTGAACAGGGAATAAACAAAGGATGAAATAGTTTTTGAAAAATTATTTCAGCTGATTCAAGACAACAACAACAAAAAAGTAAGCACGAACTTGAATCTGAAGCCTTTGTTTTTGGAGATGTATTTTCCTTATTTCCTAGTATATTCTATATACAATTCTTTTTGGGTGTGTAGGAATTTCTAAAGCATCACTTTATTAGAAGAATGAAATATCATTTAGTGGCTCCAAACAGTAAGCTATATTTACATTGTAATATTTACCTTCAATTTCTATTGACATTCATACAAGCATATTATTGGCATAAGTATAATTCTTGCAGCTATATGATACCTTATTGTCTTTAATCTCCAAGGGGATACTGCTTCATTTGTGTTCTCCATAAAACAGCAAAGTTACTTTACAGTTTCTATATCAATAATAAAAATATAATTATTTTGAAATGTATACTATTTAACAAACCAAGTTGGTTTTTTCTAGCATGACCAACTATAGCAAACAAGGAATGAGTACTTACTGCAGATGTTTAAAACTCCTCTCCTTTCAAAGAGTATCCCGAAAATTTTCCAAAGCAGAATTATTTCATAATACTAGTAGATTTATCAAAGGAAGTTGATACAAATAGTGTTATAATATAATTTTAGTTAATTTATAAACTAAGTATGTGAATCAAATAAAACATCACCATCGGAAACTTGCTTTAGAATGATAACACCCAGCACTGGGAATTGGAATTTAAGAATTCAAAGTAAAGAAAATCCTTCTAAATACTCCACCCTCAAAAGTAAACAAACAAACAAAAATAAATTTCATTTCTCTTCCTTTCTTTCTAGTATTTCATTTCTTTTCCTTTCTTTCTAGTATAATCCAACATTACAAAATGTTCAGGCATTTTGTGCTTTATTATAACTTTACTTTTTTTATTTATATCATTTTATTTAAATCATTTCCCTCATCTGTAAAATCCTAACCATAGTCAAAAACATCACTTTCAAGAAGCCACTCAAATGTTAAGATTACAGTACAAACCCAAATAACCATGATAGTCTTGTTCTATCATTCTTAAGGGACTCTAGTTCCTAAGGCTGCATTAAAAATACAATGAGATAACATGAGTTAAAGCTGGCACTAAATTATGAAGCAGTGTACAACTGTGAGCTATTATTGTAAGCACTTAAAAATGCTTGTTGGGTACATAAATGAAAGCATTTCCTTATAGCCATGAAATATTTTCTTTATCTGAAAGCTTCATAAGAAGTGTCACAAAGTTTGCCTTCATATTTTACCATTATTCTAAAAATTTAACTACAAGTACATATTATAAAGTACTGTGTGCTTTTGTGCATAATAAGTAGAAATAAAAGAATAGCCTAGAACAGAAAGATGTTTTATGATTGTATAAGTACATTAAAATTAGCCTTATACTATCAGTTTCTAAAGCTCCTACATAATATGTAATTATTTACATTTTCTTTGGGTTTCATTTATTATATAAAATCATTTAAAACCAGTTAAAAGCAGCATTCAATACACTAATCTTTGAAATTTCTCAACATGTTCTGTGACTAAAGAATAAGTAGAATATGATCAAAACTATTAAAATGTGAGAGAACTTATAGGCACAAAACCTTTATTAATTCTTGTCTTAATGAAGCAAATAACTTTAAACGTTTACGATTTCTTGTGTTCTTTCAATCTTACATAAATGTAAATAGGCATGTTATTATTATTATTATTAACTTCTGACATTAAGCAATATACTTTAGGTGCTTGTGAATATGATTAAGGGTTACACAGAGGGTAAATTTTCTGTAACACAATTATAGCATAAAAATAAGCTGCTGAGAAATGTGACAGGTTCTGTTTTTTGCTCATGTAAATGTGTTCTGTTACAAAAAGAAAAATGCTCAGGCAAAAATACATGTACAATACTTATGATTTTATCAGAAAAAGCATAAATTCCATGGAATATTTAAAGGGAGGCCTCTGTAAAGATGCTAATTTATAACTGTGTAAAGAAAAGAAAGAGTGCACGTCTGTGTCTGTCACAAAAATTTATTAACAGTCTGCCTACTCATTTATGCATCACAAGACAATAAAGTCATCAGTAATGTTTATTTCTGGTCAAATGAAAACTATCTTATTCAGGGACCTAGAGTATAATAAAATATAGACACAGAGAAAATTCACTTGCTTATTTAATTGGCATATGGTACTGGCACTGTGCCTTTGCTGGCATGCCTTCCCATCATTGAGGTACATGTGATTGACTAGCCAGTTTCCTTTATTCCTTAGCAGGTTTTCTTCTCCATAGGAACCTTAAACCAAAAGGAAAAATCCCTTACTGGGGATATTCCCTGCAAGTGAGTCTCCCATTCACTTAGCACTGAAATATCTCAAATCTCTAATTTCTAAAATGGTCTTCCAAGATAGTTTGATTTTGATTTTGCAGCTAAGAATACTGCGCTCATAGAGTATCAGACAGTGACCCCAGGTAAAAATAGCTCAAAGAAATAAATAATTCCTCTTATGCCAAAAACTGGGGCCATTCTCCTAGACATTCTACCTACTGAAGCTAGTAACCATTTGTGCTCTTTATGATAACCTGTCCACGATTCAAGAAACAGGAAATTGCCTATAAAAACAATCTACGTCATCCTACATAATTTCCATCCTTCATAATTTCCCTCTACAGTTACCCTTCCAGTAATTTCCATTTTGAGACATAATGGCTGACAGTGAGAAAATAGTCTTCATAATGCTCACTCTTATTTAACAGATGAAAACATATCTCTCTAAATTTAGTCAATAAATATGATTTGAAGGCATCCAGGCTTAACTTAAATAAAATATTCATTTATAATAGATGTATGCATACATGTACATAGATAGATTAGATTAGATAGATAGATAGATAGATAGATAGATAGATAGATAGATAGATAGACACACTGACACAATAGATAGACAGAAAATCAGAACCTTTGCATGGTTTTATTTTAAAAAACCATATTGGGTGACTAAGACAGATGAAATTTAGTTAAATTCCTACAAAAATGTCCTTTACACACACTTAGTATGCAAAAGGTCCTTTGCACAAACTTACACAGTTACCTCTCTTATCATTCTTTGTTATTTTTTAATTTTATTTTTGAGATTCTAATTATAACTTTTCTTCCTTCCCTTAATTATCTCCAAATCCTTCCATACACCCCTCTTTACTCTCTACTCTCTTTCTAATTCACGGTCTCTCTTCACTAATTGCTATTAAACACACACACACGCACACACACGTATGTATGTATGTATGTATGCATTACTAAATGTAGCATTCCTAACACATCTCTTTGATTAGAGAAGATACTGTAATATCCCACTGGCCAGAAAATATTAAATATCCACAAAGCACATTTTTTTTCATAGGGAGTTCTGTGACAAGTACTCAGGTTACATGTTGCAATTGTTATTTGAATATTTAAGGAAATATGTTTAAAATATTCTACAAAGATCCAAAATTAAATATCAATACTAGAACAGGGGAAAAAGAGAGAACAAGGAAAGACTGTCAGAAAAACTTCCACAAATCTAGACCTCTATTGAAGATGATAATAGATATTAAAAATTGAAGTCATGATGATGACCCTGCACTGCTTAAAATTGAGATGATATAGAATATAAATGGAAAGGTTATTTATCTTTTCCTTATAGGAAGAGTATCAAGGAAAATTAAATGAAGCAAAAGAAAGTTAATTACAGAGCTTAGCTTCTGTTAGAGATCTGTTTTCCCATGACTGATGCACACACAGCAAAGGGTACCATAAGGAAAGTAGACAACCTTTACCAACTATATCTAATCATTGCTCCAAAAGGGAGTCCTGCACTGATTAAAAGAACAATAATGTCCCAGCTCTGGGAATTCATGAGATCTAATCTGTTTTTAAGTCCCAGGTTTTTTTATTTTCCATGACTGTTATTCTAGGTTATAAGACACAGGTGCTCAGGGCATATTGGCAATCAATCTAAACAAGAAAATGATCCCGTTGACTAACACTTGAAACAGTTTTCAAACGCCAGATAGCTCATGAAACCATTCTCACAACTTTGACAACAAACTCTATGATTAATATGGATGGACAGATGCAGAAAGTGTGGCAGAAAGATAGGTCGAACCATTAACTAAAGATCCCCAGAACCGAAAAGAACAAGGATATTGTGGAAGTTAGGAGAGTGGGGGTGTTCTTTAGGGGAAATGGAAAACAGAGATTTTCCCTTGGGAAAGAAAAGGGAATGGTACAAGTATAATCAGGATTGGCTTACTAGTGCCAAAACATTTAGTTCACCATCTGAGATAAGAACTTCAAATTGACACTGGGAATTAATCTATCATGGGCCACCAAGATCATGGTGATGGAAGGCAGTTTACCAGGTTATAGCCAATTGTTTGAAAAGTTGTCACTAAAATATTAGTTTTTGTCAAATTCCCAGACTCACTGAAAAAGGACTGATTTACTTTCCGTGTTTTTATGGAGGCCTGTGAAATTCCTGCTGCATTCAGAAGGAAAGGGAAACTATTAGAAAAGCAAGTGGTGGGTTCCAAACAGTAACAGATGCTATTTTCCAATTACAATGCACAAGATCGAAATATTAATTTATTATGCAACAATGTTTAATTTGGAAAAC